ACATTTGATATATAACTCAATGCTGACTAGACTGATGTAATGGTTATATTAATTATCTTGATAGTGGTAATTATTTATAAGTGTGTAGTCTATCAAGACATATTATATATGTCTTTTATACATATTAAATATATGCATCTTTTATTTGTCAATTATACCTCAAAAATTTAAAATAAAGACCTAAATGGAAGACCTAAAACTGTAAAACACCTAGAAACAAATGAAGGGGGAAAACTCGTAATACTAAATTTGGCAATAATTTTTTGGATATGACACTAAAAGCACAGTCAATGAAAGCAAAATAAGCAAATGGAACTACATCAAACTAAAATTATTTTTCTATCAAAGGTTATATTCAACAGAGTGAAAAAGCAACCTATAGAATGGGAGAAAATATTTGTAAATTATATATGTCCTAAGAAGTTACTATCCAAAATACATAAAGGAGCCCTACAAATAGATCAAACAACCCAATTACAAAACAGACAAGGGACTTTAATAGACATTTCTCCAAAACAATAACAAATACTCAACAAGCATAAGAAAATATACTCAATGTCAAAAAAAAATGAGATATTACCTCACACTTGGTAGAATGGTGACTATAAAAACAAAAGGCAAAGAAAACATGGTTCCTCAAAACTTTGAAAATGAAACTACTATATGATTCAGCAATCCCACTTTTGGTTAGAACTGGAAAGCAGGGTCGCAAAATAATTGAAAGCAGGGTCTTAAAGAGATATCTCCCCTCCGTCATTTTTAAAACAGGATTATTCACAATAACCAAACAGTCCAAACAACCCAAATGTCTATCAAGGAATGAATGAAGAAGCAGCATCTGTTATACACATAAGATAGACTAGTTTTAAGTCTTAACAAGAAATAATCCTGTCACATACTTACACGGATGAGCTATGAGGATGTTACTGGAATGCTGTGCAGCCATAAAAAAGGTAGGTTTATGTCCTTTGTTGAAACATGCATGAATCTGGAAACTATCATTCTCAGCAAAGTGACACAGGTACAGGAAACCAAACACCACATGTTCTCACTTATAGGTGGGTGTTGAACAATGAAAACACATGGGCACAGGGAGGGAAACATCACACACTGGGTTCTGTTGGGGGGTGGGGGGCTAGGGAAGAGACAGCAGGTTGTGGGGAGGTTGGGGAGGGATAACATTGGGAGAAATGTCTGATGTAGGTGACAGGGGGATGGAGGCAGCAAACCACCATGGCATGTGTGTATCTATGCAACAATCCTGCAAGACCTGCACATGTACCCCAAAACTTAAAGTACAATTAAAAAAAAAAAAAAGAAAGTCACTGATAGGGAACAAAGATGCTACTTTGGTAGCATGTGGTAAAAAAGGATAAAGTCTATTACTTATTTGGTATGACCAGATACAGAATGTTCTCCATGTTCAATTAATAAATGTTTGGAGCTAATGTACCTTTTTGTGTGCTGTTCTGTTTCAGGAGATTTCCAATGACTAAAAAATGTTATCAGGTGACACTACCCTCTAAAAGGAGAGATAATGTTGACAGATAATACCACTAATACGGAAAACCTTGCATGAGAGACTATGCCTTTGAAACAAGGAGGACAGTCTATTTGGAATTGTCTACTTCTCAATTATTTGTATTTCTACAGATTACATTAATATAATGAATCTATATGTACCACAAGATTGTGTAGTAAGCCTCTAAATGTCAAACACATTGACAAAAATCCTAGCAATTAATATTGTCAATACTGCATAATTTATTTTGTTGAAAAGAAAAAATAGAAAGAATAATGAATTATATTTTTACCAAATTACTTAAAGACCTTTCAAAATAAATAAAATGTTAAAATATATGAAATATTATTGACATAGTTAAGGTCCTCCTTTTCCTCAAAAATCAAAAACAGATTCTTTGGAACAACTAGTAGAATTAAAAAATATCTTGTAAGATTAACTGATAAATGCCAAGCACAAAAAAAAAAAAAATTGCCAGTAATGAAAAGGGGGGATATCATAAAATTCCTGCAAACAATAAAGGTCATAAAAGAATGCTATAATGGAAGCTACGACAATATATTTGAAAATATATGCAAAATGGAAAAATTCTAAGAACATATAGTATTTCAAAACTAACTCCAGACAGATAGAAAATATCATCTTACATTAAGTTATGGAAGTTTCCACTTGCCCAGATCTTTGCCAATACCTGGCAATTATCAAAGTATGTCAATTTTTCCAATTAAAATAATTTAAAAGAATTCACATTTTTAACATTTTCATTTCCATGAACACTCATACTTTTGGACATTTCTCCATATATTATTTAGACATCAAGTTTTCCTTTTCTGTGAATTGCATGTTTGCATATTTACTGATTTTTTTCATGGTCTACACTTTTTAAAGTATTTTATGTATTATGGATACCAAATTGTGTGTTCCAAATATTTGTTTTTTTATTATCAAAACTGTTTACTATAGAATATTTTTTCTTTTAATACATGTGAATTTTATATTTTATTTAATAAGTTCTGCCAAGCCTCATAGTAACAAATATAGATTTTCCTCAATTGTGCCCAAAAGCAGTGAAGATTTACTTTTTTTTTTTTTTTACATTTAGATTTTTATTTCTGGTTTGGTTTAGATTTACCTAATAAGAATCTCAACCAAAATTATATAGCAAACATCATATAGGAATCTCTAGATGCATTCTCATTAAGTTCAGAAATAAAAGAGTCCAGAAATGCTTACAGTACATGGGCAAAAGGAGAAAATAACAATTTTTTCGAGGAAAGACAACATGCTGAGCTTGGTTATACTGATGTAAAGATAAATAGTGGGACCAGGCATGGTGGCTCATGCCTTCAATCCCAGCACTTTTGGAGGCGGAGGCAGATGGATCACAAGGTCAGGAGCACAAGACCAGCCTGGCCAAAATGGAGAAACTTCATCTCTACTAAAAGGACAAAAATTAGCTGGACATGGTGGCACGTGCCTGTAGTCTCAGCAACTTGGGACGCTGAGTTAGGAAATCACTTTAACCCAGGAGGCTGAGGTTGCAGTTAGCCAAAATTGTGCCACTGTACTCCAGCCTGGGTGATAAAGTGAGACTCAATCTCCAAATAAAAAAAAAAAAAATCCTAATTAAAAAAAGATAAATAGTGGGCCCTAAACTAGAAATTCTAGCAAGGTGGAAAACCTCAGGTACAATTCTAAGCCTTTTGATGTTGTTAAAATGGAAAAAGGCTAAAACTGGCCAAAGCCTAACAAAAGAGACCACATAGACATTGGATCAAATTGTCAAATATGTGCAGTGAAAAGAAACCCCCAGGAGGGACAAAGAGAAGCAAATAGACCAGGTGCTCTGCCCTTGGGTCTTAACACATATAAGTCATCCCTCCAACAAGAGACCAGAGACAGCACACAACAATGGGGTGCATGGTTTTGTGAAAATTACAGAATCTGTTCAAGGCAAGGGGACTCCATCCAAGAAAACCTCCCAGTTCTGCCTATGCCAGTCCCTGGGCCAATTATCAAAATTGTTATTGGTCTCAAGTCTGTCATGACAGGGTAAACAAATGATCCAATTGGACTGAGACTGTTCTTTACACTGGAAAAGTCCCACTTCACATCTTGACAGATAATGTAATCAACAGAATCTCTTTCACACTCACATTTTTCCTGTTTTGATATGTTCACTCTTTAAAGCCTGCAGCAGGAGTGGTCATGGTTCACAGCCAGCACATTCTAAATCATGCACATGAAATGGCAACTATGAAGGGAACATTTTAATCCTCTTTCTCCAGTAGGAGTTTTCACAAACAGACCTCATTTAGGTTTTCCACAAGACATCAGCTCAGAAACAAGATTAATCATGATATGAACCACCACATGGCTGGCATCCTTTGTCCTAGGCACTATTCTGATGCTTTATATAATTTATGTCATGTGATCCTCACTACTAGCTTTCCAGATAATAGAGAACCTAGTCACATTGCTTCAAAATCATGCTCTAAGGGTCTGTGTTCCACTGCTCCATCATCACAAAAAAAAAAAGTTTAGAAAGAAAGAAATTTTGAGACAAACTCTCAAAAGTATAACTGAAATTGTAGTTTGGGAATGGTGTCTGGGAGTCTTGAAAACAGAGGACAGACAATGCAAACACATGGAATTTTAACAATGAATTCTGAACCAGTATTTACTTAAATCTAGAATACTGAGCAGTACTATGTCTAATGAGAAGAGTAAAATCAATAATTAGGTCAGCTCAATTGATGAAAATTTTATTAAACACCAGGTGAGGGGTTCAAGGTCAGAAGCTTTGGAGACTGTTCTCCCCTCTCCACACCCACTGACAACCACAGTGTGTCCCATTGCATCCACTAATGCCGATATTCTTTCCCTGAAACACACATACACACACACACACACACACACACACACATACACACACACACACACAGAGACATAGAGGTTTCATGGTTTTTTTTTTAATAGGCCTTGTGGTTTCCTAAAATGAATATTCTTCTACACCAATTTCAACTATGGATTCAGTGAAGAGACAATAGAGTATGTCTTCTACAGGGTCAAAGGGAACAGGATGAAAAAATTGTGCAAGTTTCAATCCTGGGAGCTGGTCTGAAAACTCCTTCAGTACAAATATGGCCTTGCTGGGATAATGAATGGACTATTGTTTTGTATTCACTCATGTTGGACCTGGTCATTTACATTCTGAGTAGCTGGTATCGGAAAGGGAGCAGGGACCCTCAACTTTGTGGTATCTGCAGAGAGCAAAGCCAGGACTGGATTTGTATATCCTGATGTACAAATGTACCTTGGCGGGTACATCAGGATCCAGTGGAGGCAGAACACAACAACAGGTGCAAAGTTCTGCCCTGGCATCCACCTACTGCAGGCCCTATGCCAGCCTGACACGCCCATCACACTCCTCCTCCTCTCAGGTTGAAAAGCTCTGGACAGTCATCACCATCCTCACCTGCTGTGCTCTTGCCTGTGCAGTGTCCTCGACTGGCTCTGAGTTTGCAGGAACCAGTTTGACTAAGAACAGCAAGCTTCTTCCTCTGGTCCCTGAGATACCAGGTAAGCCTCGCCAGCTTAGAGAGTCTCACTCTTAGTGCCTGCCCACCACCAGGACCTGGAAAAGGGTAGAGATACTCAACCCTCATTAATCATATAAAAAATAGCTTTGGTGTCTTCAGACTTGGTGGCTCCAAATGAAACTCAGGTAGTAAGTTGTGAACTGAATTGCCTCATGCATCTTTAGAAGGTGTAGGGTACTGAGGTAACACTAAAGCAGAAATATAACTCGTTGATATCTTTGCCTGAAGAGCTGAGAGAATGAAGGAGATGCTAAAGGCATGGCTGTGGTGTACAACTGTGTTATGCTGCTGCAGCAGGTTAGAGCTGCAGCCCATGGGAAGGGGACACTGTAGTTATGCTGTTGAAACCTTTAACTTCAGAGGGTGATGGACCAGTAGTCAAATTTCAGTTTTGTTTCTTATTAGTTGAATGATTTAGCCCTCTAAGCCTCAGTTTCACTATTCCAACAGAATTACCTAATTCCAGTTATAAAAATTAAAATAAGAATTTCTGCCAACTGTTTATCACAAATTAACCTTTTATAAGTTATAGCTATTGTGTTGTTTATATCAATAAGCAAAAGAGCATGATTTTTTAAATTATATTTACTTTTAAATTGACAACTAAAAATTGTATATATTTCAAATGTACAATGTAATGTTTTGGAATATGCATACATTGTGAAGTGGCTAAATTGAACAAATTAACGTATTGTAAATCAAAGAAACGATGAGTTCGTGTCATTTGTAGGGACATGGATGAACCTGGAAACCATCATTCTCAGCAAACTGACACAGGAGCAGAAAATCAAACACCACATGTTCTCACTCATAGGCAGGTGTTGAACAACGAGAACACAGGGACACAGGGAGGGGAACATCACACACTGGGGTCTGTTGGGGGGAAATAGGGGAGGGACAGCGCGGGGTCGGGGGAGTTGGGCTGGGGACGGCATGGGGAGAAATGCCAGATATAGGTGAAGGGGAGGAAGGCAGCAAATCACACTGCCACTGCCACATGTATACCTATGCAACAGTCTTGCATGTTCTTCACATGTACACCAAAACCTAAAATGCAATTTAAAAAAAAAAGAAAAAAAATCAAAGAAAATTACCAAGGCATGTTTCAATCATTTTTTCATGTGTGTGGTTTTAAGGAGTGGAGAGTTTAATAGGCAAGAAAGAAGGGAGAAGAAATAAGGAAGAAGCTCCCCTGTACAGAGGTGTGGAGGCGCTCCAAAGCTGAGAGAGGAGACCCCATGTGGAGCAGATTCTAGCCAGTTATAGGAGGAAGCTGAAGGAAGTGGTGTCTGATTTGCATAGGGACCAGGAATGTCATTCAGGTAACCCACAAAAAAACTGGCCCTCCCACCCTAGCCTTGTAGTATGCAAATTCAGGGTGCCATGATGTTCCACACGCTTGGGTATACATGGGGGTGATCCTGGTACCGGGTACATGTTGGGGCAAGAGCAAGAGGACAATGGTGGGAATCGCCGTGTTGGGTGGATCCAGTGTCTAATGTCTGGCATTTGTATATCAAAGGTTACCAGCCTGACTCTAAGAGGCGGGGCTTTCCTGCTAGACAAGAAACATTTCTGGGGCTGCTCTAAAAGACACAAACACTCTCCAAGGACCCCTTTTCCTCTCTATCTGCCTAAAATATTTCTTTGAACTCCTATATCATTCCCCTGGGGAGGCATCACCCTAACTGCTGTTAGGGAGTTTTGGATAATAATTTTTTCTAGCTACTTCCTGTTGAAAAGGGGTGTTGAATGGGGAACAGTAACTAGGGCTCCTCCTGGGGTTGATCTAAGGGTTCTCAGAAGAACATCGTGTCCATGCATGGTTCAGTTTGCAGCACCATTTGGAGTCTGATTACTTATAGGTGAGAAGAAACAATTCAAGTTACAGTATTGTGTATATAGGGTCCAAATATTAATACAAGACATATAAGCGAGAGAGGACTTAAAGGACTTAAGCAATTCCACAAAGAAGACCGGAATTCACTAAAAGGATTGTAGCCACCGAGGGCTGAAGCCTTCATTTTCTCAGAGCTTGTCAATAATTTTGATATGATCTTTAAATACCTGTAACCCGATTGCAAATAGTAGCGTGAATATAGCATTTCTCACAAGTGTGGTGTAGTAGATAATTTCCATCTAAAATTTTCAAGTTATAGAATTTCCCTTTGGGGGGTCTATGAAGTTTCTTGGTTTTATTTTCCCAAACAGAGGAACCTCCAGATTATGGGTACCCTACTCACTTTTATTACCTGGCAGCATTTGCAGGATAATTGTACAGGACTGGCATCTTGATTCAGATTTTTACGTTACCCATCCCTTTTTGTTTCTTCCAATTGCAGGAGATCACCACTTCATTCACAGGAATAAGCAGGGTTAGTCTAAAATGCAGGTAAAAGCTTAAAAACAATTGATATGACTAGGGTTTAATGACAAATGTATGATAAGTTTGGAGCATGATTTCTCTCGCCAACCCTCATTTTTTGTAAAAACAAATTATGACAGGACCATGTGTGTTGCTGGTAGAATAAACTTTAGTCTTATACTTGGCCTGATTATTTGTATAAAGTGCAAAAGGAATGGTTATTTCTATATAGGCCTTTTGGATTGGCTTTGATGAAACTCTGTTCCACAAGGAATTTGAGATAAGACCTTTAAAGCTGAGCACAGCCAGCTTTATACAAAGCTAAAACATATAAAATATATTTTAGAAAGAGATATTCTTTACTGACCAAAGGTTAGAAACCCTCTGTGGGACTGTGTAGACAAGGTATGAGGCCAGTTATCCTCAAGGGGCCTTATTGGCTCTGCATGTCAAACTTGATTTCTTAAAGGGAAACACACCCTTTTAGTCAAAGCCTTGTAAAATAACAAGTTTTTCCAGTTGTGTTCTGTTGACAAAGAAAAATTGATTATTATTGCACTGATGCAAACGACTACATTGCCATAAGTTAAAAGTACTTACAGTCTCCAAATTCTAGAGGGACCAGACAGAAAAATAAACATGCTCCAAATGTTTTCACAGTAGTATACCTCACTCAATTTTTAAAGGCTGTAAATAGTTTAAAATAAGTTTCCTTGACTCTGCAAAACAAAACAAGGATCAGAATATCCCAAGCAAAAGTTAAAAAGGTTGCTTTAACTTTCTGAGTGCAGTCCACTTGTTTAACTCGTTTTGCTTGGTATTTGTGAACGTGTCAGTTCTTTATGAGTGCCATACGTTTTCTCTACTCCAATGCTACAAGTTTCAAAGCTATTAAAAATCTTCATTTGAGGATACCTGCTAAAGTCCTTAATATAGCTTGATTGTAAACTGTCTTTTATAAAGCAAGACAACAATTGTCTAAAAATGAAAAAATTTCCAGGATAGTTACAGTTAAAAACATCACTGAAAAACCTGGGTAGTAAGCAATTTTAATTATATACCAGGTGTACAGCCTAGGACACAGACAGAAATGGAAGAAACGTTTGAATTTTCAGTATCTAACTCCATGTGTCCCAGGACTTACTTATCTGTAAAGCAGGCAGTATCAGCCTGGGAACATTTAGCAACCCCAGTTTCTAAGTTATATGATTCAGACCACCTATTAGCATTTTGAGGACATTTGCATTCTTAATCTTTAAGATTATTTTTATTTCTTACAGCCACAAGAACTAAAAATAACTTTTCTTTAAGCCAATAAATTAGAGCTCTTTTCTAGACATTACACATAACACATATACAGCAACATAGATAAAAGATTCAGCACTTGTTAAGATTTTTTACTTGCCAGTTTTTTTATTGGATTATTGGCTTTAGGATGGAGCCCTTGGAGGAACAGGTCCAGGTAGCATGCATTTGTTTTATAGGGCATAATAAGCAGAAACAGCTGAAGGCAATTAGCCCATCCCTCATGGGAGTCTTATTTTTAGTGGAGGGTGGGGATGTTTTCATCTTTCAGGTGGCCAAGAGCATGCTTCTCTGATTTATAACTACTATTAGCCATCCCTTACAGTGTATTTTCTACCTAGTTATTAAACACAAAAGCTCCCTCATAATGTGAAGTAATTCGAAACCCCCAAAACATGAAGTGATAGATAACACAATACGTAACAGAACAGAGCCTTTGATTTTGAGAGGGAACTATCTGCTTTTAATTTGGGGGGGTGGTTAATAAGGAAAACAGGTTTTTTCCCCAAAACAGTGCCTGTGGCATGTCCTCGGTTTTTCTCAAGGAGTCCCATGCTACCAGAAGTTATCTTTGGGCCTCTCATGCATGCATTAAGTGAGGTAAGACAAAAAATGGAGAAAAATAATTCAGTCGACTGAGAAGAAAAAAGTTTTCCAGGAAAACTTTTAAATATACCTATAAATTGAATAACCACTTTTAATTAAGCCGAAATCTTTTTAATCCTTGTTCCTCATACTTTAGCCATGCCAAGCAGTTAAGATTTTCAACTTTTTAACTTTACAAAAAGTAATCTTACAGGTGAAACCAATGAGCCTTAATTAGGTTATGACTTAACTGTGAGTGTGCAAGGTATTTTCAAAGGAGGGATAAGCAGCTTTTGAAATTGTCATTGCAAAATTGTAACTGAGACAATGAAAGAAATTGACCCAAACAACTCCATTTTGTTTGCAGCCCCCAAGCTGTCCTTGTCCATCCCTGAACATAGGCTTCATCAAGTTTGGGGGAGCATGATTTACAGTTTATAGTTCAAAACAAAGATGGTAACAGTTCCTTCTTAAAATATGCTTCCCTCTTGCCTGGGGATGAGACCAAGAAACTAGCCAGAAGATTTGAAACCATGGCTTGGGAGTCATCCAGCTAGAGACTTATAAGATTCTCTCCCTCCCTAAACTGCTTTCAAGATCAGTGCTTAAGATATTTTGTAGACTCTGCCCTTGATAAATCAGCTGACACCACCCAGACTGACAAACTGGCTTAAATAATTTTGGAGCCCTTATGCAGGAACTGACTTAGCACAAGAAGACAGCCACGATTGTAAAATGGTGGAGAGTAAAATAAAGTATTGCCACGTGGTTATAGATCACGTTCCCAAGGACATGAAACAAGATGAAGGCC